ATTCTGTTTTTCATATATCTATGATAGAAAAGATGGATATATACATACAATTCAGCAGATAAAAACTATACATGTGGCAGACAAAAAATTTGTTACAAATTGTATGCACTATTAACAGAATTTGGAATCCAATTGCAACAGCATCAGGCCATGTGGGTGAGCTGGTAATGTTGTCTTCTAGGACCTTCTTGGCTGCATGTCAATTTGATATTCAACACTACCAGTGCTTGTGGCTTCTTGACCTACACACAGTATGCCAAGCTCATTGAGAAGGGATACGTGCCCCTTAAAGGTAAGGTGAAGTATAACATACTAGAGATTATAAATAATGAAAGAAAAGCTAAAATATTATCTACTGTACCTTGTTCGGTAATCAAGTTCAGAGAGTTTATAACCTAATTCAACAATTTCTTTGTTTTTATTTGTTTGTAGATGCTAGTTACCTTACCAATGGATACTTGAATACGATATTAGCAGATGAAATTCCTGGCATGGAAGGCATACGTTTGAAAGATATTCCAAGCTTCATAAGAACCATGAGTCTAGACGAATATATGGTTAAATTTGCATTGCAGGAAACTCAGAGGGCACTTAGAGCTTTTGCCATTATTTTGAATTCATTTGAAGACCTAGAACAAGACTGCATAAAGACACTGTCATCTATTTTGCCTCCAGTTTATGCCATTGAGCCCTTGCACTTTCTCCAGAAAGATGTCAAAGGTAGAAGTCTAGAAATTATTAGATCAAATCTTTGGAAAGATGATCAACACTATCTTGAATGGCTATTGGCTCGATTCAAAAGAGCCTACCTATTGTCTATGTACGTAAATTTTCGAAGCATAATAGTCATGACACCTAAACAACTCATTAAATTTTCTTGGGGCCTTGCAAATAATAATCGAACTTTCCAGTGGATCATAAGGTCGGGTCTTGTATCAGGGGACGATGCAATTCTTCCACCGAAATTTTTTGAAGCCACCAAAGAAAGAAGTCTGCTGGCAAATTGGAGCCCTCAAGAGAAAGAGCCACCATTCCATTGGAGGATTCTTAACTCCAGTGGATAGAATTCGATTCTTGAAAGTATTGACTGTGGAGTTCCAATAATTTCTTGGCCATTTTTCGCCGAGCAATAGACTAACTGTTAGTTCAGCTGCAACAAATGGGAGATTTGCATGGAAATTGATAGTGATTTAAAGAGGGACGAAGTGGAAATTCTTGTGAAAGAATTGATGATTGGAGAAAAGGGAAAAGATATGTTGAGTTTAAAGGCCAAACGAAAATGATTTTGTTAACACAAATATTTTCTTTACAAACACACACTTTGCACTTTTTCTCTTGCACACTCACTCTCTTTGCACTCTTTCACTTACACACTCCAATACACT